ACCAGGAGCCCTTCATCCGCGAGCGGCCGCCGCTGGTGCCCGTGCAGAAGCGGACGTCCCCGCTGAGCGTCTACCCGCCGGGGGAGACCCACATGGTTTGTCTGGGGGCCGCCCGCTGCCAGCACCGGGACTGGGCGGTGGCTGTGTCTGACGGAACACAGCGAGGGCTGGGAGCCCAACTCTGAGCTTTCTTTTTGTCGTTTCATCCTCACCTGGGGTTAGTTCTTCCACTGATTTGTAGAGAGAGGGGAGGGGAGCGAAACATTGATGTGAGAGAGACACATTGGTTGGTTGCCTCCCACACAGGGATGGAGCCTACAATTGAGGTCCTTGCCCCTGATCTGAATCGAACTCGGGACCCTTCAGTCCTTGGGCCGATGCTCTGTCCACTGAGCCACACCGGCTGGGGGAGTTTCAACTTTAAAAGGTGGGAATGAATGAATGGAGTCTTGTCAGCCTCCCAGGTCTCCTTTCCCCAGGACACAGCAGGGAACACGGGGGCCCCTGACCAGGCTGCGGTGCCGAGGAGCAGGCCTTTCGGGGACATGGAAGGGCAGGGCGTCTGGGGGCCAGTGCGGGATGCAGCCGTGTGCAGATGTATGTACTGGTACATGCGTGTCTCAGGATGGGGTTGGAGCGTGAGTGTGCGACGCTGTCACAGGAGAGGCATTTGAATGTGCTTTGAGGTGTCACCAGCGCTGACCCCACCTCCCGTCTGTCCCCAGTTTGACTCCGTGGCTGATGTGTCGGACGCGACCAGCAACGTCACCCTCAAGAGCTACACCATGCACTTCGAGGTAGCGCCCCCCGTGTGCTGTGGGGTGCATGGCCTCTGGGTGGTGTGATGATATGAGGGTAAGCGCAGAGCCCGCCCATGTTTAAGAGCAGCGGGACTTGGCTCACAGCGCAGGCTTGGGCCTAATCAGGGTCCAGGTCTTAGGGTGCCTTTGTGTTTCTGATATGGGTACCGGACCTGTTTATTTCCGAGGCTGGACTCTATAACAAGGAGAAAGATATGGGATGAGAAAACAGGGAGGGGGAAGTCCAATCCACCTTTTATTTACTTTTTTTAATCCTCACCTGAAGGTATTTTTCCATTGACTTTTTGGGAGAGTGTAAAAGGGAGGAGGAGACAGAAACACTGATGTGAGAGAAACACATCAATTGGTTGCCTCCTGCAGGGGCCCTGACCAAGGCCCGGGCCGGAGCGGAGCCTGCATCTGAGGGACATGCCCTTGACCGGAATCTAACCCAGGACCCTTGGAAGTCCGCAGGCCGACGCTCTATCCACTGAGCCACACCGGCCGGGCCAAGATGCACACGTTCTTAAGGGCAGGACAAACGGGCTCCCTGCACAGGCCGCGGGAGGGCACTGCTCAGGGCGTCCCGTTGGTCACGGCGGCCATTTCCTCCGCAGGGCCTGGCTGACACCAAGATCCCACGGTCCGGGGCCCGCGTGAGCCTCCGGAGCAACCACAGCATCTCTGTCCTGCGCATCCCGAGCCAGAGCCAGCTCAGCCAGGCCTCCCTGCACCGCAGCGTCAGCCAGCTGCTGGCCCTGCACGACAAGCAGGTCCTGGTGGACGACGCGCTGTGGGAGACCATCATGGGCCACGACAGCGGCCTGGTGAGTGAGTGCCTTTCCACCCCGCAGCCTGCGCTCAGCTCCCCGCTCAGCTCCCCAGCGGGGTGACCGTCACCAGGGGGTGGGCCTCCTGCACCTGCTGAAGGCTGCCTTCCCCCTCACCGGCCACAGGGCACCCCTCCGCCCCTTCACCCACAGCTTCCTGGTGTCGCTATGACTGACAAGCAGGGTAGAAAGGTGTCTTGTCTTGTTAGCACACAGTAGGGCTCAAAAAATAAGCTGAAGTGAGAGACATACATGGTAGAAGGGACTGGAAACGTAACTTGGCCCAAGAATGAGGCACAAGGTACACACACTGATGTTCGTCATGAGCCCCAGTGACTGGAATGAGCAAGTCCCTGGTTTGAACTGCCCAACTAACTTCTTCATGGTGCCGGCTGCCTAGGTGCCTGCTGGCAGGCCGGTCCTTGGGGACAGTCGGTGATGGAGAGCCAGCGAAGGGCTTCATTCGCACTTCCCTCCACGGCAGAATTACCCCCGACATCTCTTCCAGCCTCTGGTCTCCCCTTTCCTTCTCTCCAAGCTCTAACATCTCCTTCACCCCAAGAGTTGCTGGCTTCCTTGAAGCCCTTCTTAATGATCTAAAGATTCTAAGTGGCAGGAGTCACTGAGCTGTTAACAGATCACGTCAGATGGACGTGCACAGTAGCGTTCGTGTGGCTCAGTGCACACCACGGGGCTCAGGTGCTGGGTGTCCTCGCCCGAGGGCACAGTCATTTTTTCACGCACCGGGACCCAAAACATCACAGAGCCATTTTCCCCTGTCCCACAAGGAGCCATTTGGCCTGCTGTCCAGTGCTAGCAGGGGGCATGCTGTGACTGCTCCGAAGACGCCAGTAGGTGGCGCACTTTCCTCAGGATTGATATTCCTGAACCTACTCAGTACACAGAGGCAGTGAGTGGGGAGCACGGGGCATAGAGCTTGCATGCCAGCTCTCCCACTTGCATTTTGGAACTAAATCTTGAGTGTATTTCTATATAAAGGCTGCGTAAGTACTCCATTTTTAACACTTTCTTACTGCCCACCCCGCTTTTATATATTGTTTCTGCTTTGCAGACCAGAAAACTTAAGGCTTAGAAATTAGAAAGCTGTTCAGTTGGGCACAATGGGAGCGTCCGTGACGCACACGTTGGCTTCGTCTGTAGTTGGCCTGTGCGAGTGACGTGATGCTCCCGTGAGTTTAAGGTTTGAGTGTGGAGCGTAGGGGGTTAGCCCGTGAGAAACGAGACGTGCAGCTGGGGGCCTAACGCGATGGCTTCCTTTCCAGTACCTGGACGAGGAGGACCTGATGGACGCCATCAAGGGCTTCAGCTCCGTGACCAAGGAGCACACCACCTTCACCGACACGCAGCTGTAGCCGGCACCGCAAACCGTGAGTGACATGGGAGGCGGGCTGCGCGCCCCTTCCAGCGCCGTCTCACACCTCACACATGAAGAGCCGCTGCTTGTCATTCTCTCACCCATCAACGCAGTGAGGACAGGTTCCCCAGGAGAGGCTGTGGTCCGAAACAAAGGGCACCAGGCACAGGCAAACCACACCTCTCACCCGGCTCTGATGGAGAGCGCAGGTGAGGAGTCAGTCTCAGAGCATGTCCCTGCGGGCCCGACCCTGTGAGGACAGCTGTTCTCATGGACACAGGCCCGGCGGGGTCACCAGAGGCCGCACACTCAGGGAGGGTGTGTACTCGGTTACACTGTTCAGGGACCTTCCCACACCCGACACAGCGTCCCAGTTAGAGGGACGTGTCTGCTCCCAGTAGCCTTTCACTCTTGGAAAAGGCTGTGTTCAATCCTCAATTTCTTACATTTTCTCACTCTCCCACCCAACTTGTATGTGATGATGAGAAAGATGGGACAGACAATGACAACCTTAGCGATAGCGAACTTGTGCGTTGCCTGCCATCTTCCCTCGCTGGCCCCGGAAGTTCCTCTCATACATGCTGGTTCTCCCTCTCCCGCCGTTTGGTACAGGAGGAAGACAGGGACAGATGCATGTAGGTACACTTTACACAGGTTCCTGAAACCACTGAAAACACAGATAGTCTTCCTCCTTTTTATTTGACTGAAACAAATACAGGACAACGGTTGTGAAACCACTGGCGATATGGTAAACTTGAAAGCATTTATTCAGTTTTACTCACTTATTTCCTGGAATGGGAATATATACATTTTCACCAGTAAATGCTTAATGCTTCACAGATATTTGCAGATACTTAAAATTTGTCATTCCAATCACATGGAACAAAAATACAAAACATTATCTTTTTTCTTAACAATTTAAAATATATTCAAAGGAACGTTTTCGCAGCAGCCCAAACCTTGTAGTTTCCTCAGCATCCACAGGCGGCTACGGCCACAAACCTCACGTAGCCACCCTGGTCTCCCGGTTTTAAAATCAGACTGTTAGTGACACCTCTGGTTGTAAAGATAATCATGGCGACTTAAACTCTAAACATTCCAGCGCATCTGGAAGAAATGGGGACGGTTCCATTTCAGACGCATGGCCGTTAACTGGTTCACTAAGTGGCCACGGCCTGATTTGATTGTTTATGTTAACACGGTGGCTCCCACACAAGGCAGCCTACCCTTGGTAGTGTTCCCTTCTGGGCACTCAGAGCTTTGTCCTTACTGTTCCACCTGTTTACACACAGACAGCTGCGCCCACTGTAAAGTAAGTTTGTAAGTGAGCTTTGGGCATTTACTGGTGACGCATGCTAAGGTTTTAAGACCAACAATGAAACTCAGGAGATGACCTACACTGACAAGTACCCTCAGCATCAATAGTGTTGTGAATGACACGGCATTTCTCCACAAACATAGCACCTCGTTAAATATCGGTAAACACTGTGCAACCACAATTAGGGTGAGAGACTAAGTTCCACGACTGAGAAGTGCGTGACTTAAGATAACCAGCGAGGCAGGCTCAGGCAGAGTCTATGTGAGGAATGTGTTCGGTCGGTCCCCATGTTCTCAGGGGTGTTCACCTCCGGTTAAGGTGGGGGAGTCACGACACGTGTTTCTGAGCTCCCTGGACTAGCTTTACAGATTATCAATTGAACGCACTTGTTCAGAAAGGTCACAAGAGCTCTGGTTTTTTCTGGTTACTCCATCTCATTGTGTTAGGAAGATTGGAAGAGAAGTCCACGTTTGTGTAGAGTTTTGGTGTGGAAGCTAGTGTACTGGACCCAGGAGTCAGACTCATTGGTCCGGTCCTGCCTTGGGCTGGTGGTGAGGGCGTTGGGTGTCCGACCACACGCAGAGGCCCACGTTCAGACAGGTGGTCCGCGTGGCCTGCGCCTGCTGTCAGACACCCGAAAGCCCCCCGGTCTCCACGGACCACCCACCTGCAGGCGCTCACAGGCTGTACTCCTGCCCGGAGGAGTCGCTCTTCTTGTGCCGGGGGGACGGCGTGGTCTTGGTGGGGGACGGGGACGCGGTGCCGGGCGAGTCGGTGCCTCCGTCGGAGGTGCTGGGCGAGGAGGCCAGGTGGGGCCCCTTCTTCCTGCCCAGGAAGCCGCCTCCCTCGAACCCGCCTTTCCTGCGGGGCTCCCCTCTGTCGCCGCCTTCGTCCTCGGGCGCCCTCCTCTTGGCCTCGGGGCCGGCCTCGGCTGCTCTGTGCGTGTCCGGCCCCCCGTCCGCCTCCCTCGCACCTCGCGCTTCGGCTCCAGGAGCCGTGCCCTCGGGCCCCGCGCAGTCCCCCGCCGCCGCCCGCTTCACCTCGGCCTGGATGGGCCCGGGGGTGGCGTCCTCGGGCACGGCGCGCTCCAGGCTGCGGTGCAGGTGCAGGCTCTGGAAGTCGCGGTAGCTGTGGAAGCTCTCAGTGCGCCGCGCCCGGGCCAGCAGGGGGCTCTCCCGGTACGGCCGCACGGAGCTGTAGGTGGCGGCCTCGGGGATGGCCTCGTGGTGCTGCAGCTGGAGGCTGGAGGGGTTAGAAATCGCAGGTCAGGGCACGTCTCAGGAAGGAGACCGCAGTGCACACACGTGTTACCTAAACATGTAGCATGTTCTTACTTCTGTCTGTAAAAGCACATTTAAGTGCTTTAAAGTTACGTGTGTATGAACTACCCATGCAAATATCGCAGGTGTAGTCAGTGAAGCAGGATTCTGTCTCCAATGACAGGGGCATAAGACATTTATTAGTTGCAGGTGGACACCAGCGTGATCAGACATTTGTGTGATGTACCATCCGGCATGGTAAGGTTATTACTGTACTGACTACACAGTGGAACCTCATTTCTCGAACGTCTCCCATCTTGAACAGTTCGCTTCTCCCCGACAGCCCTGCCAGGCTGACGCCTGTAGGATCAGCCTCTCAGGTGACAGGAGAGAACGCACAAATACACATTTCAGCAGTTTACCTCGGCTAAAATCTAGGAATATTGTGCTGTGGGTATTTGTGCTTTTGCTTTCATTGCTGCTTATTGATTGTTAAATTTTCATGACCTTTTTCTTTTTAAAGTGCTTGTTTATAGATTAAACAGCACATTAGACATGTACTATATAAAAGAAAGGTTAAAACAGCATCACTTGAGGGGTATGGAATGGATTAGATTTCGATTTACATTATTTCTAATGGGAAGAAATGACTCGCTTTCCATCAGCCTCCTGGCACAAAACAAGCTCGAGAAATGAGGTTCCCTGCCTTCCCTATGCTGTCCTCACAGCCTCACCACTGTGTTTGCCGCTCAATCTGTGGATGGCTGAAAAAGCTGGGGAAGGGCTTTACAACAACGGTAGAACCAGCATCAAGCCTTGAGTTTAGATTTGGATTTTTTAAAAACATTAAAAAGATATGCTATGCCATTGTCTTAAAAGTACATAATGCACGCAAATTCCGAATCGTTATGTTGTACACCAGTAACTGCTGTGTGTCAGTCACACCTCAGCAGAGTAAGTTACATGGTGTCTGAAGATCAGACAAGACAATGCGATCACTGTGTCCCCCGGGAACAAAAATGCCACCTACTATCCATGGTCACAGATGACTTTTCTGATTTCCTTTGAACGATTCTCAATCACAAAACAGGACCCAAATGAGCAGAAATTTGATGATGGGGGATAAAATGAGATAAGGGATAAAAACGTTCTCCCTATGGAAGATGCAGCTGCGTGCCGTGGAGACATTCAGAGGGAAAGTATTTTGTGAGGCAGTGCAGGGGGAAGCAGGCAGCCTGTGGACAGTCCCCACCTGGAGCCCGCCTCGCGCAGCCGGCTGTGCTGCACCACCGAGGCGGCCGGGCTGATGCTGGGCGTGGCGCAGCGGGACGCACTCAGGTCGCACTGGTCCAGCAGCTTCAGCAGCTCCTCCTCCGTGGGGCCGCCTGCGTCTGCGGGAGCGCACACACACACACACGTGTTACAACACACACGCGTCACACGGGAGCCTGCGCCCGCCCCGCACCCTGTCCCCACACCTACCCCTGTCCTCGCTCTTGCTGACCATGTCCATGGCGGTGGTCAGGTCCCACATCTGGATGCTGCCGTTGGTGTGGCCGGTGAACAGGTAGCGCCGGGGCCGCGAGCCCATCCTGCTGGAGCCCTCGCACTCCCGCACGGTGAAGGCGGAGATGGTGGTGCAGTCCACGGCCTGGATCTCACAGATCCTGGAAGAGACGGCGCCCAGCTGTCAGCCACGGCCGGATGGCACTGCACGGGAAGTAACTCCAAAATCCCAATTACCCTCAGAGCTGAACACCCCACAGGCATGAAAAGGGTCAAGGCAAGTAACAGGAATCAAAGGTACACTGTTTCTTTAGTCTAATGAAAAGGTTCTTATAAAATAATGCACTAAGTAATTGAAACCAGGCAAATAATAAGTCAATGTTGAAAGAATGGAGCAGTTCTTCCAAAGGAAGCTACGGACATTCACTAGAAGAGATGTTGAGAAGTCACTTAAAAGGTATGTTATATGTAAATTATACAAATCTGAGATGAGAAATGTACAGCCTGTGGAGAGGCCTGGCGAGTATCCTCCAGCAGGACTATACTCTGATCTCTTGGGGCCTGAGCTGTCTGTAAGCAAAAGGCTTCACATGAGCTGCATAAGGGGCTGCCGTTCTATGTCTGCTTATTTTTATAAATCTAGCTTTTCCTCTGGAATCGTCAAGTTCACAGGTATAAACTGTAGTTAGTACAACACACTGCTACTGTGTGAGCTAAAAAGAGGGAGGAGGTTAGAACGGAACAAGATGAAATACTACGTTGCAGTTTTAATAAAACGTTCGGCAGCTTCTTCCAATCTGCACGGAACACTGAGGGATTTATAACATTTCTCAAGGTAATAACTTCGTTTTTACCTTATAGGCTCCTAATACATTTTATTAAAAAAAAAAAATAGTTTAGTACATAAAATTTTCCAGATCAATTCATGCAATGAACTTCGGTAAAAAAAAAAAAAAAATGTATCATCTCAGTTTAAAATAATAGCTGAATAATAACTGAGAATTATTAAAAACAGTAACATTAATATGAGTATCCATAACTTCCTTAAAAAGTTCTAAGGAATTCTGACATGCAAAAAAAGTTCTATGTTTTTAAAGAAGAGAAACGTTATACTCAATGTGTCTGAGGCGATAACGTTTTTAAAACAGTCAAATGGACAAGACAGAGGAAACGAACTTCTACTTGGCATCTGTACCAGTCAGGGCTACACCAGGCAGCTCATGCTTATGCTCATTTGGTCCTACGCCCTCCTAAAAGGCAGGGACCTTCTTTTATGGAGAAACGGGGGCTCAGAGAACCAAGCAACTGAGGGTGAGTGTCGGCAGCTGGTGAGGAAGAGCCAGGACTAGCCCTCAGGTCAGCTCCCGCCGCCTCACTCCTGTGTTTGCTCTGCTGTCACTAGTCCTTCCTAACTGTCCAGCCTGAGGAGATCCAGCACTCAGTGCCCTGTCCTCATTCCAGTTAAAGCCAGACGAGGCAGCGGACAGACCCTCTCGGCCGTGTGTCTCTGCCCACACTCTGACCCAGGGTGCGATGCGCTGTGTGTGGTCTACGGCGCAGCCAGCTCACCTCTTCCCGGTGGAGGACAGCCTGACGAACAGCTTGTTGGTGATGGGGACCACTTTCTGGATGAACACCTGCTGGTCATCTCGCTCTCCAAAGGGCCCTTGATCAGACGATGCAAAAAAAGTTCAAGTTTAAATGGTTTCATTTAACATTCATACTGGGGGGGGGAAAGGATTTTCATGCCTGTCAATGTGGCCTTCATTCCACGTCAAACAGACAAAATGCAATGATGCGAGGACTTCAACTTGCATGAAAAAATTTAAGAAATACATAATTCAAATTTGCTTGTTTTGCAGGAGGCTGTTAAAGCTGATGGTGGGTATTTTAAGCTCAGGAGCGTCCATGGTCCGAGCCCGTGGGAAACCTGGGGACACATAAGCTCCTTTACGCGCTCCCTCTGAGAATGTGCTCAGCTCCTTTTATGCACTGACTGTACTTTTTTTTGGAAAGCCAAATTGCAAAGTCTTAGAAATAAAGTGCAACCTCATCCAATAGAATTTAGTGAATCAGAAGCCTGCTGCACCCTACCAAGTTTTCTTATCTAATGAAAGGAAAGATTCAATTATCTTCACTTGGTTACACTTGGCAAGGCAAATCATTGACTCAGCATCCATTTTGGAAAGATACTTAGTGTTTTCATAAAAAACTTAAACGTAACATTTTAATAATCCTTACCCCATCATACTCAATAGCTAAAATATTCACAAAAGTATATAATGTGAATCATACAATGAGATGAACAATTATTTATTAGATAAAATGTTCCAATTCGCATAACCATCATGGATTTTAATTATAAACAAAAATGGTTAGCATTTGGAGATGTTTCAAATGAATTTCATAATGAAAATTTCATAATTAAAATGAAAAGCTTTTAAAACTCACTTCCAGCTTTTACTCTTGTTCACTCTGCCCCGCCCACACGGGGTGGAAAACACCACACAAGCTTACTCACCGATGTCGTTGGCAGAGGTGTAGCTGCCGGGACTCTCCGTCTCCTCCAGAGACAGGATCTTGAAGGAGGCGAGCGGCGTGGACCCGGGCTGAGTGGAGATCATGCCTCTGAACCTGGTCACCGTCCACGTCCGCACGTGGTTGTTGTCTGCACAGACTAGGAGGGAAGCGGACACCAGAGCTGTTACATGGGGGTCTGTAAGCGCTCCACAAAACGCTTTTCTAAACACCCTAGCTTTCACTGTGACCATTCAATAGGTCCTAGCACATCTCTGAAGTGGCAAATGGCATCTTTATCTTAAAATTATACTAAATTTTTACCTAACGAGCAACAGTGAGAGCTAAAAGAATATGGTGTAAAGAATATGGTGTACCTGTCTGCACATGTAAGGTATACAGTGAATCTATGGAACCTTATGGAAGTAGCCTCTAGAGCAGAAAAGGTTAAAGGAAAGTGTTTGTTAGAGAAAAGATAGTAAACAAGTTGCCTAGTTTATTTTTTTAAACCAGAAATTTTCTCCTTCTGTTACTCAAATATTAACCTAGGCCAGGAGCGACTGGACATGTATCGTCAAAAAGGATATTTGTCAAAAGCTATTAGGAACCAGTGGTTTTTTGCCCACTGACAGTGACATGAGGAAAACTAAAATTAAGATTTCCTATAAAGCTGAGAGTTATTGTTATATTATTTGATAAGAGTATGTATTTAACTTCATTTACTTTGTCATATAAATAGTAAGTGGGGGTATACTGAGATAATCTTTTTTCTCCCTTTGGTCTAAATACGTAAATTAAAAATACAAGCAAAAAAAGTATCATTAATGTAAATTTTGTGGCATATCTTAATAAAAACTTATACTAATTTGACATGATTCTAGAAACTTGTTGTTACCAATAAGCTATGAACTCATCGGTAAATACTAGGAAAACATCTGAAATTAACTGTAGACATGCAACATTTCTTACTGGTAAAATTCCATAGTTGCACATTTTAAAACAAAACTTTAGAAAGAAATTTAATTTTGGCTAATTGCAATAGAAATAAAAAAACGTACAAATATTATTTAGGTAACAAATTTCTCAGTATACCAGCTTTCTGTTAAAAAAAAAAAAAATGACATTTAGTTCTAGGCTGTTTCTTTAGCTTCATGGGAAATAATAGCCTGATTTCAATATTGACCCAAGGATTCAGAAAAATTTAAATATCTTTAAAATTATGGTAAATTGTTATTTGGTTCAAATGAGCAACTATGGCAATTTTGTTAATTAAAAACTTCATATTAAGACATGAAAACAAACACTATGGGGAAAAAAAGTCATTCCATTTACATACACATTTTTACACTTACATTGATGTCCACCAGGTGGCAGAGTAACATACTGAGCATTGCACAAAGTACTGCAGATTTGTGGCTTAAGCTGGACATTTTTCTTTTAAAAAATATATTTTATTGATTTTTTACAGAGAGGAAGGGAGAGAGATAGAGAGCCAGAAATGTCGATGAGAGAGAAACATCGACCAGCTGCCTCCTGCACACCCCCCACTGGGGATGTGCCCGCAGCCAAGGTACATGCCCTTGACCGGAATCAAACCTGGCACCTTTCAGTCCACAGACCGATACTCTACCACTGAGCCAAACTGGTTTCGGCTGGACATTTTTCTTGACAAATTTACTTACATTTCAAACCAGCATGAAATGGAATTAAAATGCAAGTTTTACTATGTAGTGTGGCACATGTTACATATCATCTCCATCAAAATAGCAGCAATTACTACTGCGATTCCTAAGCACTGTCGTGTAAAAATAACCCAGCTAAACGGCATTTCTCACAGGAGCAAATGGCCTGACCCCGCCTCCCTCTAGTAGAGGGTGACAGTTCTGCCGAAGTAGCAGAGTTCTTTGCACACGAGGCGCCGACTCCAGGAGACCTGTGGGCTTGGTTCCGATCTGGCTCCGGCCCTGCAGGCTTCTCACTGAGTGCAGTGACGCAAGTCCTTCACCTGACATTAAAGTTTTAAAGAACCCTAACAGGTGTGGCTCAGTGGATAGAGGGTCCCGGGTTCGATTCCGGTCAGGGCATGTAACTTGGTTGCGGGCACATCACCAGTAGGTGTGCAGGAGGCAGCTGGTCGATGTTTCTCTCTCATTGATGTTTCCCTCTCCCTCTCTGCAAAAAAATCAATAAAATATATATTCTTAAATAAGTTTAAATAAATAATTTTAAATAAATAAAATATATATTCTTAAATAAGTTTAAATAAATAATTTTAAGTAAATGCATATTTTTAAAAGATATTTTGTCCTGAAGGCAAAAATATGCCCAGGAATGTACAAAAGAAAAGGCTGCTTTGGTGGTCTCCCAGAGGCACGCGTTCCGCGCGCACCGAGCCTCCGTACCCGACACGAGGTGCTTCTCGGACAGCATGATCTTGGTCACGGGGCTGCGGTGCACGGTGAAGGTCTGGAAGAGCTGAGGGCCCGAGCCCACCGTCTCGGGGTGCTGCACGATCACCCGCACCGCCCCCGAGCTGGTGCCATAGGCGATCTCAATCCAGTTCCCGCTGACACCTGGCACGGGCGAGGGGGACATCAGGCCACAATAAATACAGAGAAAGCTGCCCTCTCCAAGCCCCCCCTGCGAGGTGGGGGACAGAGCTGACCCAGGGCCCCACAGTCCAGCTCGGGAACCGGGGATTCTCTGCGCCCCACCCCAGAGGTAACTGCCCTCCGCACTCCCTGCACTGTGTGAGGCTCTCACGGCAGCTGCCACACCTGATCATCTACTCCCATCTCCCCTCCTCTCCTCCCTGATGGACAGAAGCCTCATCTTTTTGTCTAGGTCAGCCTGCAGAGTGCCCAAGGCATCACAGGTCTTTAAACATTTACTGAGCAACACACCGGAAGTAAGTGCTAAGATCACCCCACAGTATTTCCAACGCCATCGTCCATGTTCCTTCCAGCCCAGCATGACCATCTCTTCCGTTTACGTGGCTCCACTACAGAATCTTCCTGGAGGAGTCAAGTGGGGCACTAGACTCTCCTACTTCACAGTTTCCGAGCCCTTCTCCCTGGACACACCCCCCACCTGGCTTACAGCACCTGTGCCGCGCTGTGGCTGACCTTGTCCAGCTCCTCCCGTCAGGCCACTGGCTCCGTTTCTAACCAGCTCCCCGGCCCCCCCAGAGCTGGAGGAGGATGGGGTCAGGGGCCCCTTCAAGAGCCTCAGACAGGGAGCCTCCGGGCTCTGCCGGCGCCTCACCCGGTTCCCTCATTCCTGCAGCCGGGCCGAGAGCACTTCCCCTGGGCCGTCGGCGGCTCCTGCCTCTGCAGCAGCAGCACAGCCTCCAATTTAGACAAAGGAGCTGAGCTCGCTCTGCAGAGGGCAGCTCGCTGTGAGAGGCCGGGCAGCAAGCATTCTACCCTGTGCACCACACTGTCCCTTATGGCCAGAGCCGCCAGAGGCAGCCCGGGAGCCATTAATGAAGAGAGCCTGCCGGCTCGCTGGGCCCGGTATAAACTCTCGCCTCGGTCTCAGTCCAAACCCCCTGCGTGCACTAGCACTTGGTTTTTTTTAGACCAAGGAATGATTTCCTTCAGAGATTTCCATAAAGTGACATTTTATCAGTAACCCTTAAACCTATGGCTATCACTGTGCACATTAACCTTCCTACAATTCCTGTCATTACCGATTAAAGTTCCCGTGTATGTTTACTGTTCACCCCGGAATATAAGAACTTCCCAACTGGCAGAGCTTGTTAATTCCATTGCAAAGGCCTTTGAAAGGCAATGAGAGTTACCCTGAACTTCCAAGTAAAATGTCTTCCCACAACTGAAATTTGAAATTTGCAAAGGAAACGAGCTCATCTCTGTCCAATAAAGATGAATAGTCTAAGAGCTCCTGCTTTTGGTTAAAAAATAAAAAGGCTCCCGATTTCACAACAAAACCAGCTGCTGCAATGGGAAGGCCAGCGTGACGTGTTTGGTCACTCGGGTTGACGCTGTAATGATTCGGGGGAGGCAGTGCAATGTCGCACCCGGGGCTGCCGGCCTGGGCCCTGTCTGACGTGGACATGAACACACGTGTGCTCTGCATACAGACGTGACAGCCTCAGCTCTGCCATGCGGGAAGCGAGCACAGGAGCTGCGGGCACTGACTTGTCTTGGGGGTGAGGTACACGCTCAGCGCGGTGATGGCGTCGTTGGAAGGGTCGTGGTAGAGTTCGGTGACGAGGAGATCGTTGTCCTTCATCCGCAGAGGGAACTTCTGCATGTCTGCGAAACAATGCTCCCGTCACACTGAGGCCAAGAGCGCTTTTTTAAGGTAAAGACGGTGACGTGCTCACTCACCGATGTAATAGATGGACCCGTTGTTACACCCGAGCAGGAGGAAGGACCCGGCGGTGTCATAGCTCGTTATAGGGACGACATCCTGAACCTGAGTGGCGAGATTGTCATCAGATGTCAGATATTACACTTTATTCTCTGCTCCATTTTCTCAGAACTCTTTTAATAAAACACCACCAACATTCACTGTAAGTGAGGCTTAGAAATGGACGTTTTGTACGCACACACATGCGCGCGCACACCCTGCACAGGGAATGGTAAAGAATCACGCGTGTGATTCCCTTTAAAGCTTTTGAAACTGAATTTCCACAGGGGCACTTTCCTTTCAGAATTTGGGAGGATTCTCTTTGTGCACATGGTTCTGGGACCACAGCACTGAGGGCTGGAAGGCCAGGTCTGAGCAGGGCACGCAGCCACCAATGGCCTGCTCAGTCCCTGGTGAGGGACACACGGAGGCCAGAGCACAGACTTCCGGACAGTGCTTCTTCCCTCGATAACCATTCTTCCTGTGAAAAGGCAGCTCCCTGCTTTCCCTCTGCCCCCTGCAGACTTCACCTGTCTCCTAGGAAATGCCATTACGGCAAATAAGCTCTCAGACTGAAGAGCTAAACGTTGCAACTCAAACCACGTCAAGGAAATAAGGGCAGATCGCAGTTTAAAAACTTTGCAGCGTGACTTCAAATTCTAAATAAAAACAGTCAAATTTCATCCGGAAGCAAATGTGCCAATGCATATATTCACTCATTCTGCCAAATCAGACAGACAAACGGAACCCCACAGCCAGCAGCAGATGCAGTCAGAGGGTTTCGGCTGCTGGTGGCGGCCGCTGCTCCCGGGGGCTCACCTGCCAGTGCTGAGTGACGGCGTTCCACACGCCCACCTTCCCCGTGTGGCTCGTGGCCACCAGCTGGTTCCCGATGAAGAACAGCGCATCCACGGGCACGCCGAGGCTGAACACGCCTGAGAGAATAAGAAACAGAGGCTGATCAGTCATCAATCGAATCCAACCCTTAAAAGCACGTTAGCGGTGACTACTTTTAACCTAGTCTCACTTCTACAAACTAGGTACAAACTCAGGGGTGCAGAAATAAGCACCTCTTAAGCAGCTTACACACCCCTAAAGCAGGGGGACGTCTGCCCCCAGTCCTCGCACTCGGATAGGATGTCCCGTCATTGGCGGCTGTGGTGCCCGCACCTAGTTGATCTTTCCGAACAAAATAAGCTAACCGGCCCCTGCTCCCTCACTCAGAAAGCCACTGCACTGCTACAAAACCCAGGGAGGGTTAGCTGCAGCTCATGGACCAGATGTCTGGGAAGCACAGGTCTGAGGAACACAGACTTGGGAAGCCTCAAAATGATCTAGACACTTGGAAATAAGCAAAAAAATAATAAATAAATAAATAAATAAATAAATAAATAAATAAATAAATAAAAAGGAAGGGGGGAGACAAGCAAAGGAGCAAGGGGTCATTCAGCACTCAGACCCCCCAGGCCTTCACTCGCTTGTCTGAATCCCTGGTTTCCCAGCAGGTAGACCTCAGCGGAATTTAGTCAAAGGGCACGATTCTAGGCCAAGGACTGACAACACAAGCCAGAGTACCACTCACTAGGAGCTTACGGTGCGATAGAGGAAAGATTCCACCAGCCCATTATAGCACAGGTAACAGTAACAGCAGACACATAGGAATAAACTACCCAGAGAGGCCAAAGGGGGAGGGAGGGGTTGAGAACGTTTCTTCTTAGGGAAGAAGGCGTGTGAGTGGGTTTTTAAAAAGGTGAACAGGAGTTCATCACCTGGGGCCGGCACGGGAGGCCCAGGGCATCTGAGGAAAGGGGTGCGGTGGGAGGGGAGGGGGAGTGAGGAGTAGTGGGGAGATAGGAAGGAGCCCACACTCCACATTAAGAGCAGGAGCAGGACCTCTGATGCAGAGAAGCCTGGACTCCCCTGGGGGTGGCGCTCGCGGCCACACAGCGCCTCCCCAGCAGGAGCTCTCGCCGTCTCATCTCTAAAGCAGCTGCAGCTAAAGGTCTCGGTGTCTAGTTCACCTTCAAAATGTTACAATCCAATTTTGACACAAGTAGTATTACCTTCATTATCTGAAAAACATTTTATAAAAACCATCTTTTTATTTAAAAATGATGAGAGAATACCTCACCTATTTGTTTAATGTGGATTTTAAGCTGTTCCAGGTATCAGTTTACTTTTTTTAAAAGTACCTATTATGTGACTACATGAACAATTTTCACAACATCTAGCTTAGAAAAAAATGGCACCGAAGAGAAACAAATTAAATGCAATTGCAGCATGTATTAAAACCGGAAGCCGGAAGAGAGAAGTGATTTCTTTTGAACTTTACACCTGTAGTGGGTATTCCTCGTTCTGTGCAAACCTGCACTGCACACAGACAAGACCAGCAGCAATCACTAACTGTGAGAAACCTTCAGGGATCTTAAAAAAGCCTGCCATCTCTCAGGAATAACAAAAAGAAAGAAAAAGCACTGCTATTTCACCTGCAATTTCGAGAACTCTTACGGAACAGGCCTTTCGTTTTGATGCCAAGCAATTGTGGAGAGCATGCGAAGCTAACTACCTGCAGACCATGGGCTCAGCAAGAGGCAGAACCAAACCAGGAAAACCAGCAAACGTGGGTTACTCTAGAGGAGACGAGGGCCTGGGAAATGAAGGAGGACGCCCTGAATGATGGAGACATGTAACGTGTCACTGCTGCTTAGGCCCCGCACCCTGACCACCCTCCGCAGGGACGGCAGCAGGAGCAGCAATGACAAGGTCCGTCCTGAGGGCCTGTGGGTGAGAGGGCCGGCAGCACGCCATGCTCACACAGTTACATGAGGGAGGGCAGCCCCTGATGGCCACACCAGCCTCGCCATCATCGGGCGCTGCTGTCAGGTCCTGGAGAATGTCTGTGGCAGCCAATGTCTCTCCCAGAACATGAACCGTTACTATGGAGCGTCTCACAACACAGCTACCTTCCTACTAGCCCGTGCAAGCACGAGGCAAACCTCTCCTTCCCTCACTGGTCTGTTACAGAGCAATCTGAAAAGAGAAAAAAAAACACCACACCCGACTCCTTTTCTGTATCATTTTTCCCTTTTTCACTCATTATCTTAGGAGAGTACGGAGTCCAGACTACGTGATGTGTGATAAGGTCTTACGTTTTCTAGAACTCTCTGGTTGGTAGGGTTATGGGGTAACCAACCTAAGTTCCCCAAGAATAACTCAGTTTACTTTAATTATTCCTACTAGCAGTTTCCGTTTTGTCTTTCCATTGGAGTAACCTCATCACTCTCCAGTATATTTCTGTGTTGAAATCCAGGTGTCCCCCCCCCCCCCACCAGAGAAACACACGAAACGATGATACATTGCTGTTTTGCAATATTCCTTTTCAACCTGTTCTGAAGACCTTACACAGTTACTAAGACTTTACCTGAAACTGTTTATAATCTAAAATAAAATGTCGTGTTTTCCTTCTATTTAGAGATGGATCCCTGGCAATCAGCAGCCGCCCGCTCAGCTCAGCCTGCACCATCTAAGCTAGAAGATGCCCACAAACACGCCCCATCCGTTCTCACTCACAAAACGGGGGCTTTACAGAAACTGGGCCACCTGTGGAAAAAGTTTAAAAATAAACTTTACCTTTCTTTCAACTTCATAGGTGTAACTTGCCTTGTGTCTTATGTAACAAAATGTTTTGCCGGGTGTGGGTCCATTGAGAGCAAATGTGCCGAGTTTAAAGTAAATATTTTAAACAAACGTGAAAAACTCTTTAAAGGCCAGAAACGTCTGCAGGACTTTTATACTGCAACTACTAAAATGTCACTTTTGCCCTCTTTAAAGATCCTCTCTCCCACCGAGGGGTCCTGTGACCACCATCAGGTTTGCTATTCACGGGCAATCCTGCTGAGCTTCATACCATCACACACACCAGCAACATGCAGCAGACACACAGCTCTGCCCACCGATTTCCGTTCCGCTCCCTCCGTCCTGGACACTCCAGAGGATGATGCTGCTCTCCGAGGCCACGGCAACCATTTTGTCTCTGTCTCCATGGGGACCGCCGACCACCTTCGCGTTTAGAGCAACTCGTTCAACTGTCCAATCCAGGTACGGGCTGGTGAACACCTGCTGCCACCCCGAGGACTCTTTGATCCTGGCAAGTGAGAACGGGCACACGTGACTCAGCAGCAACCCTGCAGACAGCGCCACAAAGCACGCCATTCACGGCTCACCACCGACCTTCACGGTAAATATAAAACGCTGTTGGTGTGTACCATTTACAAATCCAGGAAAGTATTCCTGAAATACCTTATGCTTGCAGACATACAAAATCTAAACCACAAAAAAGAGATTAGAGTTCTATATTTCGGCTAAGAATAATTTAGGAAAGCTGTAAAAAAAAAAAAAGGCAATAGCAATTTAAACTGAACCTTTCACTTTTCTCCACAAAAAAGGGCTACTATCATTATTTATGGTAGGTATGGTCAACAAAAGTCAGAATTTAGGATAATTATGACCCCTTTCAGTTATTAATCACAGTTATTATTTTCACTGAGACCACATACTCAATCCATTCCTTTTCTTACTGAGAGGACCGTCTCCCCAGGCCACTAAGATGAGGACTGATGTGGTAACAACACTCCAATACCTCGGCACCATCGAGAGCAGAAACCTCAAAGCTTAGAAACCTTTCTGAGGACTGGATTTTAAAGGTTTCATCCCAAGTGAAAAATCTTACAGGCCTATATACTCCCCAGACATAAAGGCTTACCAGGATTCAGATTTGTAGTTGATCAAATATATACTTAATGCCTTCCTTAGTATTTAATTTCTGGTAACACCTGTAAGCTTTTAGTAATTTCCCACCATCTTCAGTCTTTCGGACACACACTCCGTGTGGTTGTACAGCCAGCCTTCCCCCATCTAGACCCTGCACAGTTGTGCAATCGTGGCAATGGGTGACTCGACTTCAACCACAGAATACCTACCTATCTTTAAAGTTACATTAAGGAGATGAAACTAAATTATAAAGCCTCTTTGCTTTACCTAGAGTATAAACAGAACAAGAAAAAAAAATGTTCCTTTATGTACAACCTAACACATTCGTCCAAAGGTCAAACTCAGCCAAAACCGGTTTTGCTCAGTGGATAGAGCATCGGCCTGAGAACTAAAAGGTCCCAGGTTCGATTCCTGTCAAGGGCATGTACCTTGGTTGCGGGCACATCCCCGGTGAGGGGTGTGTGTGCAGGACGCAGCTGATCGATGATTCTCTCTCATCTATGTTTCTAGCTCTCTATCCCTCTCTCTTCCTCTCTGTGGAAAATCAATAAAATATTTTTTAAAAAATCAGAAGAAAAACAAACAAAAAACAAAAACAAAGGTCAAACTCAGGCACTTAGATATGTGAAAAATGTTACTGGCCTATATACTCCCCGGACATAAAGGTTTACGAGGATTCAGATTTGTAGTTGATGCCTTCCTTAGTATTTATGTATACTTAATGCCTTCCTTAGTATTTAATTTCTGGTAACACCTGTAAGCTTTTAGTAATTTCCCACCATCTTCAGTCTTTCAGGCACACACTCCGTGTGGTTTCTAGCTCTCCAAAGGACCCAAATGAAATCACACATTCCATTTTTGTTTTACAATGTATGCTAGCCCGGCCGGTGTGGCACAGGGGTTGAGCCATGACCCAGGAACCAGGAGGTCACCTGCTTGGTTCCTGGTCAGGACACATGCCTGGCTCAATCCCCGGTAGGAAGTTGGCAGGAGGCAGCTGATCAATGATGCTCTCTCATGACTGATGTTTCCATCTCTCTATCCCTCTCCCTTCCTTTTTCTAAAACCAATAAAAACTTTTTTTTAAAATGCATGCTGGAATAACACAACTATAATAAGACTCTTCTTATTAATTTCAAGAATTAAGATTGCCTTAATTTACTTCAAAGCAATAGAGAAATGTTTCAAATTTTCTTAAGCACTGAATGATCTGTAATTACCCTATTCAGCCACCAGATGGGATCCCTGTGTTAAGGTAAACAAATGGAAGCAATTATCTAATAAACTCGGAAAACTGACACCCATTGAGAAATCAAATGTTGATGTTCTTAGGGACTAACTGTTCAGTGAGAGGAGGCAGAAGTGATGCAATGAGGTGAGTGATGGGATGCTGTGATCATTAGGAACAGAAATAACATTATAGGGGTCCCCAAAAATGTATACCCACTTTGGTATAATTATTCATTATTAATTTATCAATTCCAATGGGTTCAATCTGAAAAGAAACATCAACTGAACTATCAGCCGAAACCGGTTTGGCTCAAGGGATAGAGCTTCAGCTTGGGGACTGAAGGGTCCCAGGTTCAATTCCGGTCAAGGGCATGTACCTTGGTTGCAGGCACATCCCCAGTAGGGGATGTGCAAGAGGCAGCTGATCGATGACTCTCTCTCATCAATGTTTCTAACTATCTCTCTCCCTTCCTCTCTGTACAAAATCAATAAAATATATTAAAAAAAAAACAAAAAAAAAAAAACCTGAGCTATCAGCTGTTAAAGTGTGCTTACATATTTGGGGGACACCTGTATATGCAATCTCGTCTTCTTTGAGGTTCATACCTCTAAGTTCTTTTCCTCTATAGAAATTAGGGTATTACAAAATAAGGAGATGGCCAAAAAAAAAAAAAAAAAAAAAAAAAAAAAAAAAAAAAACAACAAAACAAAAAAAAACCCAGAATTATCAAGATAGCATATTTGAAAACAATTATAGCAACCACAGAACTTAATCCGATGTTGTAAGTTACAGAATTAAGTACAAAGAAGACACATTTGCTCTATAACTCCGCACAAGTAATGCAGAATTTAAAATGTAAAATGCTAGAGTGAGCGCTGGTACCTGGCACCCACTTGCTTCCTGCTCCGGTGAGTGGACACCTGGCAGCCAGGACTCCATGCAGGAGCGTGGCTGCCTTCCACGGAGTCTCACAAAACACACGGGAGCCAGGCCCATGAGTCTGGAGCTTATTATAACACACTGACCTACATTGTATGGGAAGACACAGCATGTAAGAAGATCCTAAGAGTCTAAAATTAGATCTGTGTGCGTGTGTGTAGCAAAATAAAAGCTTTCATGTTTAAGGGTGAAAGGATGATTTCTATAACTATCAAAACATAAGCACCTGCCCACGTGGAAGGAAGTAGTTTCCCAAATCTCACACCACATGCAAGAAGTCAGTCCCACAAAGTTCTCTAGTGCGAAGTGAGGCTCCAAGGAGGGGAATGAGACAGCTCCTCCGCACTCGTCCAAGTGCCTGCTCTACCCCAGCAAGGAAAGGAAACAGGAGTGCAGCCGAGCAATGCAGAAAGGCGTGAGCCAGGCGGAGACTAGCCAGGGTGCACCGTGCATTGTCATTTCTTTTCAGGTGTGAATATATTGGTAGAGAGAGCAGTGGGGAAATTACCCTCTTAATTTGAGTATCTTCTTTTGGAAAACTTATTGCCACTGTGCTAAGTTAAGGAATTCACTGGACCCTCAGTTCTTTTCCTCTGTCACTCTGCCTGGGTTCTGACATCACGGACACTCGTGAAGGCACAGTAAGGCTGCGGTCAAAATCAAAGAGCGGGAAATACCACTCAAGGGAGGGAGTGACTGAGCAGCGCGTGTCCATCAGGCAGGCAGGCGCCTGGAGCGGGTGTGCAATACAGAGGGCACCGGGCACGCCCGCTCACAGCTCTCCTGGACCCCTCATCAGCACAGACATGCACCCGCCGCTCAACAAATGCAACGGTCTGCTCAAATCAGATCTGCATGCCAACAGGTTCAAACAGCACTCCCCCAAATTTAATTTTTCTTTCTGATCATTCTTGCTCCCCATAAAAGTCATCCCCAAAGGAGATCATCTACAAAATCACTTCCATGTTATTCAATTAAAGTGAAAAATAACAAAATGCTCTCAAAATGGAAAGTTTCCACCGAACATCTATTGCAATGAAAATAAAAGGTGGTGGCTACTGATATAATTTTTTTTTTTTTTTTTTTTTTTACCAAATATGGCAAACCTACCACAAACTGAGATTTAAAAAAAATAAATCAAGGATTCTTTAAAATATATCTGTAGTCTGTAGAAGACTTTCTAATTTATTTTTAGTCTATTGTGGCTATTTCCTCTTAAACACAATAGTAACAAAATACATATTCTTTGATTTTTTTTAGCCATTAGATTAAATGGTATCATAGCCTAAGCCAGTGGTTGCCAACCTTTCGGACCTCACAGACCTCCAGTGGTCCAAGGACCACTGGTTGGCTTCTGCTGGTTTAAGCTACTATTATATGTCCCAACCATTTTGGGCTTCTATACCATTCTCTGTCATCAACATTTCTCATTGCAATCATGATTTTGTACTAAGAACCTATTCTTTCTCCAACTAAAATCCATTGGTCTACATTCTTCCTCACTCCTTTTAGTTTCTGAGAAAGCAAAAATTAGTAAAAGCCAAACGCACATGTTAAAAGACATCACTTCTGCCCACGACTGTCCTGTGTCACCACCTCACTGCCAACCAGGTGCTTGTCATGACCAATGTGGAGCCTTACCCCTCATTACTGGAAGCACAAGAGACTGAAATACCGCAGACAGAAAATCCCGAGGCTCGGTCATAATCCCTCTGGGTCGTTTACTACAATAGTTAAGTGGCTCAGAAGCTAGATCTTCAATAAGCAAGAAGGAGTAACTTCGTATTGCCTGGGAAATATCTAAGACATACAAGGCCACCAGCAGTGCTGACCAACTTAGCTATGAAAATAAGAGCAATAAAAGCAAACTAAATCTAACAGAGATACAGAAGTGAGGAGAATAGGGAAAATTTGACAGCTGGAAGAAACAGCTCTTCCATCTACGCATATAAAATCACAATCACTGAAACTATCCCCCAAATTAAAAGCAGCGTTAGCCACGAGGACCTGCACGGTACCTGTAGCAGACGGCGAAGTGGGCGTAGGCAGCCACGATCCAGTTGTGGTGGCCAGCCACAATCAGCACCTTGCGTGGGTCCACGGGAAATCCTGCTGATTTAGAAAAGGAAACATTTTAGCTGCAGCACAGGACTCCCCTTCTTCTCCCCCGCCCCATCCAGTCCTCTGCCTGTCCTGACAGTTTTGGGGGAGCACAGCCGTGCACGCGTGTTTACACATCACCCGTGGCTCCTCCATGCCACCCGGGCAGAGCTGTGGCTCCAACAGAGCCCGGGAGGCCAGAAAGCCCGAGATATCTACTACCTGGCCCTTCACATACAAAGTCTGTCAACCTCTGCACTACAGACTTAGAGCAAACAGGACTTAGGTCCTTTTTATATAAGAACTATATGCTAAATTACAGTTTAAGATATAAATGATAAATGTGAATTAAAAAGCGAGGCGAGGCAAAAAGTACACCTGTATAAATGTTTGTAAATCCTCAGTATGTGTCAGCTAGAATAAGCACAAGCATGGTCTCTGTCTACCTGTGTCGTCATGCTTACCCAGCCTGGAAGTCTCCTCGCTAGAGGCGGAGAGGACGGGCTGGGCCCCACCGCCCCGGGCCTCCCCTTCTGCAGAGTTCAGCCCGCTCCTGGCATCGGCCGAGGACCGGGCTGTGCTGTTTATTTTACGACTAGGAATACCTACGAAAGAAAGGAAGGTTATTTCTTTCTAAGTTTCACCGGAAACAATTTAAAACTTCGCATTATGCCAGACATAAAAACATGCAGTTCATTATAGTCAACATATATCTTCCGAGACAGCAATGTATTACAATATAATCATGATTAAAAAAAAACCAAAAAACTTTCAACAGATGGTATATAGAAGTGAGACTAAGCTTTATCACATTACACTGCTCTCTAGCTCTAGGGTAGTGGAATCCAGCACTAACTCAGTCTACCGCAGTGTTTCCAATGCAGTTGCTGGGTACGAGGTCCCACGCACAGCTTCAAGCTGCTCTGGAGCTGACTGCCCGTCGTTCACCGTCTCTATTCGGCAGGGAGCCGACTGGAAGGAACCGGCCAGAGGCAGAACTCTCCCACCTGAAGGGGGTGGAGGGACGTGCAGCACACCTGCCCGTCGTGCACCTGACACCCCTGTGCGGGCCTCCCGGGCTCTAAAGGAGACTGACTGCCAGGGATGTAGCATCGGGGTGGGCAGAAGAGGGGCCGGCCCCGGCCACCGATGGCTGTCTATACAAATGAAATTGTACGCAGCGGTCACACCCGCAGAGCCGAGTGGTGGCCATCAAGATCTAGTGGCCGGAAGCAACACACCCTGGCACATACCTACCTGAACGTGTGCTGACTGGACTCCTATCACAATTCAAGTTCTCACCGTTTCCAGTGGATTCATAGGTAAGAAAGAATCAGAGACTAGGTCCTCCTGCTCCCCGTTCAGACAGGAGTGTAACTACACCTGCTTGGTGGGAAGGAGCACGCCGAGGGCCGAGCAGAGCAGTACCTGGCGGGGGCAGGTACCCGTGGAACAGGACGCTGCCGCAGGACGAGCGCTCCAGCTCCTCGCACAGCAGGAGCCTTCTCACTGGAAGGCAGAGCACAGGGTCAGAGGCAGCGGACGGAGCGGCTCTCCGCCGTCCAATAGGCGGAAGACACCCTGTACCGGGCAGGTTCGGGGCACAAAGGGTCAAACCACAAGGAGGGATATTGGAACACATACCTAACGGGGTGATTCCGTAAAACTCAGCCTCGTGCCGGAGAACGTTAATGCTCACCCCCCTACAAAGAGACAAAGGACATGAGTCCTCCGACAGGGCGACTCGGATTAGCATCTGAAGCAAAAGGAAAAGTCGTAGGAGCTAAGTGTGAACAGACCCACAAGGCTTTACAGCTTCCTTCCTTCTAATAGCCTTCAGGATTTGAAAAAGTCTAAATAAAAAAACTGCGCACCAACAAAAACATTCTCATACCAAGTACCGCACCCTTCTTGGATGGCACGAATGGACTGTAACTTTTTATGACAATCATTTCTATACATACTTAACCTCCCCGATTATACTGTAAGCTCCCTAGGCAGGATCTGTTTTGAATCTATTTTTGTGTACCTTGCACACGCCCAGAACAGCACTTGTATTATACATAACTATTAGGCAATAACTACCCATCGAATGAATAAATTCAGATAAATGTCCTCATCAGAAACAAAAAAAACACACAAGCAAAATAGAAAGTAGGGAAAGAAAGGCAGCCTGATGATGATGTTACCGTACAGTAGTATGAAAATAAAAAAGCCATTAATTTACAGGAAAACAGTGGGTAATACAGATATTTAAACCAATTCTCTCTCTCATGGGTTATCTGGTTGTGGAGTAGTCACAAGGACACTGACTAGCAACAAGTTTAGGCTTCTTTAATCAATCAAGTACTATGGGTCAAACTAATTTTACTTTTATAAAGAAATAAGTACTTAGTAATATACTTCCCACTTCCACCAATGCCAGGCCAAGCACCAAACAAACAGACCCAACAATCTCTTTTATCATTCCAGAAGTGTTTACTGAGCAGCTTTAACGCTGGGAGCACAGCAGGAGCCAACCAGACAGAGGGGAGTCCTTGCCTTCAAGGAGCTCATAGTCTAGTGAATGTAAGCAAAATCAGATAATATAAAGCAGCTCAAGCAAACAGCTGGGATTTTAAAAGCTGTAACTATAAAATATTAATACATTCTTACTGATCGTTCACTAAGAATCCTATCTAATAAAAGAGGTAATATGCAAATTGACCATTATTCCAAGACACAAGGTGGTCACCCCCATGTGGACACAAGATGGCCTGCAGGGGAGAGCAGTTGTGGGCAGTTAGGAGTGAGCAGGCCAGAAGAGGAGGGCAGCTGAGGGTGGCCAGGTTAGCAGGGGAGGGCACTCGGGGAGAACCAGGCCTGCAGGGGAGGGCAGTTGGGAGGGACTAGGCCTGCAGGGGACAGCAGTTGAGAGGGGGGGTGGGGGAGACCAGGCAAGCAGGGAGGGCAGTCAGGGATGACCGGCTGGCAGAAGAAGGCAGTTGGGGAAGACCAGGATAGGAAGGGAAGATAGTTGGAGGGGACCAGGCCTGCAGGGGAGGACAGTTTGGGGGGTGGAGGGGGACGACGACCAGACCTGCAGCGAGGGCAGTTAGGGGAACAAGACCAGTAGGGGAGGGCAGTTGGGGGGAGGGGGGAAACCAGGCCTGCAGGGAGGGCAGTTAGGGAAGCTCACCTTTTCAGAATTTAAGTCTAATGGAAGACAGACTCCAGAGAAAGTGTATGATTGCTATGATTACCTGTATTAAGTGGATACGATAGAGACCGGGGAAGAAGTCGGGATGAAAGGTTGCAAGTGTTAAAGCAGGAGAAATTAAGCAGGGGTTAGAGAGAGCTTTAAGAAACAGTATAAAATGCCAAAATCCTTAACCACAAAGCCAGGAACATACAACAGGCATTTTCAGGAGTGTGGTAACCAGATCAGATCGGTATTTGTAGAAGACAGTGTGGGAAATAAATGGTAGGGACACAAGAATGAAGTGAGGGGAACTGGCCAGGAGGCTGCTAGTGGCAGGCTGGAGGCAGGATGGCAGAGGCCTCTACCTACGAGTTTATTGCTGAGAAAACTTTCAAACGAAATAGTACTGTAAAAACGAAACTTTGTCTTCATAAAATATACCCAAAAAATATCCAAGAATAAGAATTTAAAAGGATGCACTTCTTACCTTAAGTCTAATTCTTTTGTCCGAAGAAAATTTAAAATGGGTGCGAATGCTGCTGGATCTCTATCAATAAATATCTGCAAATGATGAATTGTTTTAATAGACATCTGAAATGATGCTTCAAGTATAACGGCAACTTCTAACTTCAATGTCTATAGGTCTAACTTAGGGAACAAAGACTGAACTACTGAAGTACTGTATTTCACTGGAATACATTTGATATGGCAGTGTCTTTCCTCCTCCAAAAAGCCATTGTTAGATTATGTATTTTAATATGTAGGAAAGTGGTATCTAATAAGTCAGTTCTCTCATTTACTTTGAGATTTTTGGTAAAAATTGACACCTGAGAGAACATTTTTAACCTAAAATATTCTAGAATCCAATGAATACTTTGAAAATACTAAACATAAATAATACTTTCTTATATTAATTACTGGTGACAGTGATTATGACTTAAATAACTTGCGACTTACATGGAAAACGTTGAAATAATGAACTTGTATGAAATACATTATTGATAACTCCACAGGTATATGTACCAACACTATTTTGAATCAATAACAAAACCTTGAACCATAAAACTGAACATCTTTTAAAGCTTATGTAAGTTAATGAGGGGAATGGTAACAAAACTCTTTTCCATGGTCAATTCTGCATATCAATGAATGAAGTTCTTCTACCTTCACAAACTTTTGCTTTTCTTCTATTAGAACCCATGAGAAGTTGAAGAAACACAACAGATTTGTAGAGATCTTATTACTGATATTTTTCTTATAACCTTAAATAGGCAAGCCTGCTTTCGCTGCATTATTTCACCTGCAAATATCAGCAAAGCAGACAGACACCTGTGGCCACCCGGCTGCACTCATACAGAAAGCCCTTCTGCTTGTGGGATGAGACGTTTACTATACATGCTGCTGTACAGTCTCACTGCTTGGTTAGTTCATAAACCCACTTCTTTTGTACTGAAACGTAACAGTTCTTTACTTCCCTCATTCCACCATTGCTGTGCAAGTTCATAAGGTTATTCTCCAAAATAAAAAAAAATTATAGAACTTTGCTATTTACAACTTACACCATTCTAATTCAGTATCAAAATATTTACTCTATTTACTGTAAAAGTTTTAATTACTGATTAAAAGTACTCTATTGACAATGGAAACTCATATCCTACAATCTCTCTGATCATAAACAATGAATTGCTATATGTATGTAGTATAAACTATTTAGAGTTCTATACATATGGATAAACACTCTACACATGACAAAAAAAAAATAAAAAACATGTCACTTTCATTTAGTGCTTATTAACGTATTAGCTCTCTAAGAGCCACTATATAATAAGGATCAAACATAAGAATTAATTTATTTTGGATACACTGCATAATATACTTACAGCACCAGTTTCATCTCTAAGTGTTGAAATTCTCCCGCTCAGCAAGCTAGAAGTCACAACAATAAGCTAGTTAGTTTTTAAAATCTGAGTATGAATAAATGTCTTAATTCTTTATCAAATGTTAATGAGCCATTTTATCTTCAACGCAAAATAAAATAAAAAATTTGGCAGTTACGGAAACTATTCAAATGAAAAAATTATATTTTAAAAGTTAAGAATTTTTATTTCAGAAAAGAATATTAAGAAAATTAATGAGGAGAAACAAGATGGCATCTTAGGTAAACACCTGAACTTGCTGCCTCGCACAACCACTTCAAAACTATAACTAAAAGACAAAACAGGAATCATCCAGAACCACAGGAAGGCTGGCTGAGTGGAAGTTCAACTAGAAGAAAAGAGAAGAGGAAATTCTACAACTAGAAGGAAAGAGACTCAGAGTGGGTGCGAAGTGAAGTGCAGAGGTAGGGAGGCACATGTGAAAAGGACTGGCAACTGAGTATGTGGCTGTCTTTTCAATCAGGAGGGAGACACAAGCTCCCAACTGCTCTGAGCTCCAGTTCCAGGGGAGATTCTGGGGAAGAAACTGGAATGTCTGGCATCAGGCATAACTCTAGGGCGGCTTTCTTCTCAGGTTCTTGCAGTGATCGTTGTTTGTGCACGGTGCCATGGGACACAGACACAGGACCTCTTCCAGGCAGGGCTGAAGGTCAGCAATTGCTGTTTGCTCCACCCTGGGGATTCCCTGAGACCCTGCCCCACCTAATTTGTGTGCAGAGGCTTTTGCATATGAATTGCCTGCCCCTGTGCAATCTAAAATTACCGAACAAAGGCAGATATCTCTGATCTACAGCCTGTGTGGGGGGCCTAAAGCCCACCAACAGCCACCTGAGCGGGATTGGAAGTGGGTCCGTCCCTCCTGGAGTCCTGAGATAACCACAGCCCTGGCCAACACCGAGTCTGCAGCCTCCTCAGAGACTCTGGGCCAGAGGATCTCATTACCCCACACCCGGACTCCTGACCTACAGAAACTGTGACAACAAAACAAGTTCTTAAACAGCTCAGAGCAGGAAAAAGATCAGCTACAACCGAACTTACTGGTGAAGAAACAGTTTTGTGAAGTTTTTTGTTGTTGTTTTCCCTCAAATTGCAGACGGAAGTTTAAACATAAATTCAGACTGGAGGGGGAAATGGCGGCAGAATAGACAGATGTGTTCCGAGCCTTGTCCCGGAGCAGACAGAAGGAGCAGCTGAGGGTCACTCGGGAGTGTTTGTTGGCAAACTAAGGGAAAGCAAAATTCTAAGTGAAGGTGGGGGACTGCTAGACGGGGTTCCTTGACCAAACAGCCCGCTCTGCGGCTGAGACCTCTACCAGGGCTACGGGCTCAGACGGAAAACTGCGCCATCTTGCAAGGGAAAGTGGATCTTATCCAACGCCTGGAAACCCACAACTGTGGCAACCACTGAACAGCTGTGCATCCCCAATTGGCGCAAACGCACGGATTCAAGGGAGCTCTTCACTCCACCACGGAAAGGTCAGATTTCACCGGGGATAAGGAGATAACTACACAACCAGACATCGTGAGAAGAGAAACCATGGGGAGACAAAGAAACAGCCCCATTATGAAAGAAAAACAGGCATCGCCAGAAAAGGAAGTAAACGAATTAGAGACAAGCAACCTATCAGAACAAGAATTCAGAGAAATGGACATAAGGTGGCTGAAAAGAATGGAAGACAAATTTGACAGTATGAGTTAAGAACCAAAAGTAAATGAAGAAGAAACAAAAATAAATGAAAGATGACATTGCTACTGTAAAGAACTCAATAGAAAGCATCAAGAGTGGACTAGAAGAAGCAGAGGACCACATCAATGCGCTAGAAGAAAGATGGAAAAAAATACCCAATTAAAGCAGCTTCTAGAAAAAAAAAAAATTAAAAAGCAGCAGGAGAGCCTAAGGGAACTTTAGGACAATACAAAACAAAACAATATTCGCATAATAGGGGACCCAGAAGGAAAGGAAACTGAGCAAGAAATAGAAAACCTGTTTGAAGAAATAATGACAGAAAACTGTCCTGATATAGGGAAGAAAAAAACCCACACAAATCCAAGAAGCTTACAGAGTCCCAACCAAAATGAACCCCAAAAGACTGATGCCAAAGCACATTATAATTAAATTGGCAAACACTACCAACAAAGTAAGAATCTTAAAAGCAGCCAGAGAGAGACAGAAAGTTACATACAAAGTAGCTCCCATCACACTAGCAACAGATTTCTCAACAGAAACTCATCAGGACAGAAAGGAATGGAATGAAATATACAAAGTCATGCAAAGGAAAGGTCTGAATCCAAGATTACTGTACCCAGCAAGGCTATCAATCAAAGTTGAAGGTGAAATCAGGAGCTTCACAGACAAAACAAAACAAAACAAAACAAAACACACACACACAAAAAAAAAAAACACTAAGGGAATTTATCACAGCCAAACCAGCAATGCAAGAAATGCTAAGGGGTCTGCTGCAATAAATAAATGAAGGAAGGAAGGAAGGAAGGAAGGAAGGAAGGAAGGAAGGAAGGAAGGAAGGAAGGAAGGGAGGGAAAAGAAATAGGAAGCGAAGAAGGAATACAGGGGTACAGAATAAAAATGGCAACAAATAAGTACCTATCATTAATAACTTTAAATGTAAATGGATTAAATGCTCCAGTCAAAAGAAACAGGGTAATGGATTGGATAATTAAACACAACAATCCAAAATCTATGGAAGAACTAAAACCTATAGTCCTCAGACTATTCAAAAAAAATCAAGAGGAAGGAACACTTTCAAGCTCATTCTATGAAGCCAGCATCACCCTTAATAAATGAATTCAGCAATGTAGCAGGATAATACCAAAACCAGATAAAGACAACACAATGAAAGAGCATTAGAGGCCAATATTCCTCATGAACATTGATGCCAAAATCCTCAACAAAATTCTAGCAAAACAGCTCCAGCAGAACATCAGAAAGATCATACACCATAAACAAGTAGGACCATAAACAAGTAAGATTTATTCCAGGAATGCAAGGATGGTACAATATCCGCAAATCAATAAATGGGATACATCACATAAACAAATTGAGATAAAAATCACATAGTCATATCAATTGATGCAGAAAAAGCATTTGATAAAATCCAACACTCTTTCCTTATAAAAACTCTCAACAAGGTGGGAATTGAAGGATCATACCTCAACATAATAAAAGCTATATATGATAAACCCACAGCAAACATCATACTCAATGGACAAAAACTAAAACCATTTCCCCTAAGAACAGAAACAAGACAGGGATGCCCACTCTCACTACTCCTGTTTGATATAGTAATGGAAGTATTAGCCATTGCAATTAGACAAGAAAAGAAGTTGTCCTTATTTAGAGATGACATGATATTGTACGTAAAAAAAACCAAAAGACTCCATCAAAAAAACTAATAGACTTAATAAATGAATTCAGCAATGTAGCAGAATACAAAATTAACACCAAGAAAATCGATGGCCTTTCTCTACACCAATAGTGAACTTACAGAAACAGAGACTAAAAAAGCAATCCCATTTACCATCACACAAAGAAAATTAAGATACCTAAAAATAAACTTAACTAAGGAGGTAAAAGACCTATACTCGGAAAATTACAGGACACTGAAAAAAGAGAGGAAGATGTAAACAGATCGAAGAACATACTATGTTTTTGGATTGGTAGACTCAACATTAAAATGTCCATACTACCCAAAGCAATCTATAGGTTCAATGCATTCCCCATTAAAATACCAATGGCATATTTCACAGACTTAGAAAGAACTCTCTAAATATTCATCTAGAATAAAAAAAAAAGACCCCGGATAGCCATAGCAATCCTGAGAAAGAAGAATAAAGTAGGAGGGATCTCAATTACCAGATTTCAAGATATATTAGAAAGCCACTGTTCTCAAAACAGCCTGGTACTGGCATAAGAACAGACATATAGATCAATGGAATAGAGAATCTGGATATCGATCCAAACCACTATACTCAATTAATATTTGACAAAGGAGGCATGAACATACAATGGAGTCAAGACAGTCTCTTCAATAAATGGTGCTGGGAAAATTTGCAGATACATGCCAAAAAATGAAACTAGATCACCAACTTACATCATACACAAAAATAAACTCAAAATGGATACAGGACTTAAACATAAGAAGGGAAACCATAAACATTCTAGAGGCATCCACAGGCAGCAAAATCTAGACATATGCTGAAAGAACTACTTCACTGATACTGCCCCTAGGGCAATGTAAGCTAAAGAGAAAATAAACAAATGGGATTATGTCAAAATAAAAAGCTTTTGCACAGCAAAAGAAACCATCAACAAAACAACAGGAGAGCCCACTGTATGGGAGAACATATTTGCAAATGTTATCACTGATAAAGGTTTAATCTCCAACATCTATAGGCAGCTTATACAACCTAACAAAAGGAAGATAAATGATCCAATTAAAAAATGGGCAATGGACCTAAATAGAATCTTTTCAAAAGACAGAAGGAAGGCCAAGAGACACATGAAAACATGCTGAAAGTCACTAATTATCCGAGATATGCAAATCAAACCATATTGTGGTACCATCTTACACCAGTCAGAATGGCTATCATCAACAAATGACAAGTATTGGCGAGGATGCAGAGAAAAAGGAACCCTAGTGCACTGCTGGTAGGAATGCAGACTGCTGCAGCCACTATAGAGAACAGTATGGAGTTTCCTCAAAAAACTGAAAATGGAACTCCCATTTGACCCAGTAATCCCACTCCTAGGAATATATCCCAAGAAACTAGATACACCAATCAGAAAGTATATATGCACCCCTATGTTCATAGCAGCACAACTTAAATACCTAAGATTTGGAAACAATCATCTGCCTAGGTGCCCATCAGCAGATGATTGTATCAGAAAACTATGGTACCTCTACACAATGGAATACTATGCTGCCATATAAAAGAAGGAGTTCTTACCATTTGCAGCAACCTGGATGGAATTGGAGAACATTGTGCTGAGTGAAATAAGCCAGTCAATGAAAGAAAAACAACACATGATCTCACTCAATTATGGATAATAAAGAACATTATAAACTGATGAACTTTTAGATATAGAGATAGTAAAGCAACAAACAGTCAAATTACAGCGGGAAGGGTAGGGAGATATGGGGCAGATAAGAGATCAACCAAAGGACTTGTATGCATGCATATAAGCATAACCAATGGGGGGTGAGGGCAAGTGTGGGAGTAAGGGGGGCGGGGGGACAATGGTAAGATATGTATACATACAATACCTTAATAAAAAAATAAAATAAAATTACTTAACAAACTGCAGTTGGGTCAGAAAGGCCCAGAGCCTCCAGAAGAAGGCCCAAGGCCCCACAGAAGCTTGCCTCACTTCACAGCTGGGCCCAATCTGGGCACCTCCAAACCCAAAGAGAAGATCTCTCTGTAGCTCCTGCTGGTGATCTCTCTCCTTGGAGATCCAAGAGCCAATGTAGCCAGTGGTCTGAGAGACCATCCAGACTACAACTCTTCAGATCCATAAGACACACACTTAGGGGACAGTCTCGGTCAGCGCCAAAGCCCCACTGGAGCAAGTCTTGCTCCATAAGGATGTCTCCAGCACAGAAGTTCTCCCATCAAAGACACAATGATCCTCACAGCCAATTGGCCTAGAGGTCAATTCCTCCCAGTGATATCAACAATAATCAAGGCTTAACTACAATAAAACTGTGCACCTGGCCCACAAAGGAGTCCACTTCAGGTAATTAGGGAGGCTGAGCCACTGGGCCCTACAGGACACCTAGCACACAAAGCCATGCTATCAACACAGGGAAGCAGCCAAAATGCAGAGATGAAAAAATGGGGGAAAAAATGGAGGAAAGCAAACGACTGGATATAGAGTTCAAAACTACAGTTATAAGGTTACTCAAGAAACTTCCAAAAACCATCAATAAATTTAGTAAGACCCTCGAGGATATGAAAAAGGACCAACTATTGATAGAAATTAAGCATACACTAAATGAAATAAAGAATAATATACAGATATCCAGCAGGGAGCTGCAAGAAATATTCAAAAGTACTGAATAGCAAGAAACTACAACCAAGATTACTCTACCCAACAAAGCTATCATTTAGAATTGAAGGTCAGATTAAAAGCTTCACAGATAAGAAAAAGCTAAAGGAGTTCATCACCGCCAAACCAGTATTATATGAAATGCTGAAGGGGATTCTTTAAGAAGAGGAAGAAGAAAAGGGTAAAGACAAAAACTATGAACAACAAAGTGACAACAATTACATACTATCAATATGAATCTAAAATTCAAGTCAATAAAAAGTCTGATGAACAGAATAAACTGGTGAATATAATAGAATCAAAGGCATAGAAAAGAAAAAGACTGACAATTCTCAGGGGAAAGAGGTGTGGGGGATATGGGAAGAGACAGGACAAAAATTGTACACCTATGGATGAGGACAGTGGGAGGGGGGGGAGAAGGAGAGTGGGAACTGGGTGGAGGGGAGCTATGGTGGGGGGAGAAGAGGAGCAACTGTAATAATCTGAATAAAGATTTATTAGTAAAAAAATAAATAAATAAATAAATAAATAAATATTTTTAAAAAAACATTAAAGAAAGTAATCTCTACTTAAAAAAAAAGAAAGAAAATTCTTACTATTTTGATAAATATTAAGAACAGTAATAAAGAATTATTTGAAATACCTGGAAAAAAAGGAATCTGGAATCCACATAAGAGTCTGTTTTGAGGTACTAAATCTGCAATTGAAAGTTATCTGGTATTACAAATGAGCACACAATTTGAAGTCCAGTATTAGTTAACTTGCTCTAATATGCTAGCCAATGGTTCACACATTGTTGCAAAGCTATAGCAAAAACAAATACATTCGTCACTCTTACTATTTTAATATTTATTTCAATTCAGAATTAAGATCATTCAAAAAGCTCTTCATAAAATCTAACAGCTGACATAATGCTTCCCTAAACAAGACTTCCCAGCATGCCCATCTGCTGAAGAATCAAGTCTAACTTCAACATAGCACTCAAAATTATCTCCAGCTCTCTCCAACACAAACGTGTTCCCCTCTAATACATCAAAATTCATGCCCACTACCATTTCAGTGTTGTTTTTTTAATTTATCCCAGCTTGATAGCCCTTGTCATGTCCAATAACCCAAGTCCCATCTATCTTTTCTTCTTTTTTTTTTTCTCCTAAAAACATTTTGTTTGGCTTTATTAGCTCATGATACATCCATCTTTCTTAATACCCTTAAGATTGTACCTTCTCTTTAATGGATTTCCAAATAGTCTATCTCGATTCCAATAATTACAGGCTGCTGTTGTTCCTTGTGATTTAGCCCCTATCCAGTGATCGGCAAACTCATTGGTTAACAGAGAAGCAAACCTCGGCTCTCGAGCCGCAGTTTGCCGACCACTGGTCTATCCTATGTTATCATTTGAGCTCACAGTACCCCATTGCACATTATGCAGTTAACACTTTATTTGCAGTCGTAGGCTATTGCAATTGTCATGTTCATGTTTTAAAAAAATTACTCAGTAAATTGCCGGGACCGGTTTGGCTCAATGGATAGAGCGTCGGCTTGGGGACTGAAAGGTCCCGGGTTCGATTCCGGTCAAGGGCATGTATCCTGGTTGCGGGCATATCCCCAGTAGGGGGTGTGCAAGAGGCAGCTCATCGATGACTCTCTCTCATTGATGTTTCTGACTCTCTCTCTCTCTCTCTTCCTCTCTGTACAAAATCAATAAAATATCTTTAAAAAAAAAAAAAAAAGAGAGTAAATATTTAAAAAAAAAATTACTCAGTAAGTATATCATTGTTTTGAGGTTAACTGACATTTGACCAAGCTGTTTATTACCACCCATATAGGGGACTTTACTCCAGCACAGGATTTACCCCAGCACAGCCTGGAAGATCAGGAACCGATGTCAAGTCTCATAACCAAGAACGAATCTAGGGCTCATCCAGCCCAGCCCCATTACCTGAGTCTTTTCATTTTAAAACTCATCACAATGAACGCCATATGCACTTTTTCTCTCTCTGCCCACATCATCCTGTGCCCTCACGGAGAGACCTCCACTGTCATTCTGCAGCACCTGCCAGCCTTACAGAACTTTTAAAGCCGCTCCTGTGCCCGCTCGGATTTAAGGAAGGAACCAATGGGTTTATTCAAGAAAACGCGGCAAAAGTTCCCACATTTTCTTAGCAGACTCTTAGGAAACAAGGAGAAGCATACTCCAGCTAGTCACAGGGAACTGACTTGGTCAAATAAATAAAAGCAAACCCAGTCAACAGTACACGGGTCCTCAGCACCAACAAGCCACTCTGTTTTGAAGGCCCTCAAATTAATTCCACATGAGGGTCCGTGACCTTTCGCATTCACTGCTGCTTGCTCAGCTAACTGCCTGCCAACTAACTCAAATTCTGTGTCACTTAGAAAATTGCACGGGTCTGCTTAAAGGCATATTCACAATTTCACTTCAAATCAGCAGGCTGCGGTGGGTTTAGTAAGCCGGAATTTCTGGACAAAGAGATGGGACCCTCACCCCCACCCAATGTTTGTGTTTTGGTTTTTTTTTTTTTTTTTTTTACTAAACAAGAGTTAGGAGAAAAACCCACATAGCTCTAAAGCTGGTTCCAAATATGACTGCATGAAAACTACGACACTTAAATTACATGACAAGCTCATCTCTCTGCAACATACATGGAAGTGCTTTCCAAGCAGGGGTCACATGCAATCTGGTCCCAACAAAAGTATTACTAAAGGGATTAGCATGTCCATTTATACGAGTGCTACTTGCCTCCCACTAAGTTAAACTGGACACAACCTACAAATGATTTCATCTGCAATGTTACTATTGGCAACGCCAATAACCCTTCGATTCCCGTTTATTACTTCACATTTCTTTAGCGATCCTGTGAGGTGGGCACTGGTATAGCCGCCTTACATTTTAGGGGTCCAAGCACTGAGAGGTAATCTGGGCGAGTTAAGAGGTGAGGCCTGGGCACTGGAACCCCACTGTCACCCCAAAGCTCTCTGACCATCCATCCCCGAGTGGCCAGCCCAGACCGGCCCCAGGAGGCCACCAGCCCTCCTCATTCTAATGGAATTCATCACAAATTGAGTCACACTGAGTTTCTTTCAATTTGTTGTTTTTGTGTGTGTTTCTTAAAATTATAAGCATGCTAAATGAAATCTCGTCTTCTCTTTCCAAATCACCCCCAAAGTTAAATTCATCATTTAAAAATCAGTCGTTTCCATCATTTCATTGCGTTTTACCTTGAAATTAACACGTAAATCAGGCCTTTCCTGTGGCACGTGCTTCTGAGCTCTACCCCAGCTCCAGAGCCAACTCTGTGCCAGCCTCAGTCTCCACTTTAGGAGGATCACAGTGGGGGGACAGTGGTAGCGGGGTTTTCCTTTACCCGAGCATGACTTAAGTGAGGGTGCTAACCTGTGTTTTGCACAAGATAAGGGTGACTTTCAGATCCCTCCTCGCTCTGAAATGCTGCAGAGTGCATGGCTGTTTCCCAACCTGCACAATGTTCACCAATCTCAGCAAAGTATCCATTCCTTACACTAGCGGGCAAATCTTTCCTTAGGACTGGGATCTATATAGCCTGACAATAATGTTATAATTTCTTAATTACGAAACAGGTTTTTTGGGGGGGGGGTTTTGGAGTTTGGGGGGGAAAAAGGGGTAGAGAGCAGAGAACGAATGAAGACCTACTGTTTCTTGTGCTAAATTCTCTAGTGCACTTAAAAAAACCAATCAAATGTTTAGCTTTAAAACACTGTACATTCTGACCACTATGGCTTACAGTTTCCACTTTGCATTAAAAAAAAAAAAAAAAACGTTATTTAAAAGTCTTAGATATTCCAGCGCAGCAACACACACCACATTCCCACACACTCCGCCAGCCCCAAAGCTCCAGGCCGCCGCTCCTGGCGCCTCCAACAGTTGGCAGATGCCCATTTCTGAGCCCTGACTCATAAGCCATGGCCAATTCACACCGAAAAATGGGATGTGTTCCCCCAACAAGCTCAGTAAAGGGCAGAGGAGGGGAGCGGCCGGCCAGAGACAGGGCACAGCTGTGCCTCTGTTTGCCAGGAGGGCGCCCCACACCCCACACCCCACACCCCACACCCGGTGCCAACTCTGCAAAGGGAGGTTTCTGGACACACTGCCCTGCAAGTCACGCACCCCGCAGGGCCAGCGCCGAGAAAAAAGAGCAACAACAAGGGCCTGCAGATGTGCATGGCCCGCACCCAGGCCTGCGCCCAGCCCAGAGGCCGCACCGGGCGGCAGGGAGCACAGGGCCTCTCCAGGGCCCAGGGAGGGCGGCTGGCTCACCTGCAGCAGCCAAGCCTCAGCCCGGCTCCAGGACAGACTAGGCCAGTGCCTTAGGGGGGGCAGGGGGGGGACAGGAGGGGGCAGGGGGGCAGGAGGGGGCAGGACAGGAGGGGACAGAGGGGGCTGGAGGGGCAGAGGGGGCTGGAGGGGCAGAGGGAGAACAGGGACTGGGGGGGGGGGGGGGCAGGGAGGGCAGAAGGGGACCCGAAGGGGGGCATTCCGGGGTGGCAGCAGCATTCCGGGGGGGGCCCCACAGCCTGTCCAGTCCCGGTGTCACCCACCCGCCGCTCCCGCCAGGAGGCCCCGCGGGCCCGCGCCCCTCACTCCCTGCCGGGCGGCTCCCCCACCGGGCGCCCCCCACCCCCCACCGGGCGCCCCCCACCCCCCCGAGCGCCCCCCCACCCGCCACCGGGCCCCCCCCACCCACCCACCGGGCGCCCCCCACCCCCGGGCGCCCCCACCCACCCACCGGGCGCCCCCCACCCCTCGGGCGCCCCCTCCACCCCCCACCGGGCCCCCCCACCCACCCACCGGGCCCCCCCACCCACCGGGCGCCCCCCACACCTGGTGCCGCCGACGTTGAGCTGCACGATCTCGCCGCCGCCGGCCGCCGCGGGGCCGCCGCCGCAGGGCCCGCCCGCCATCTCGGGCCGCTCCTCCCCGCGCGGGGCCCCGGCCTCGCCCGCCTCCCCCGGGCGCCGGCGGCCCGGCCTCAAGCCTCGCGGCCTCGGGGCCGCCGGGCCGGCGGGGCCTGGTCGGGGCGCTGGGCTGCCGCCGCCGCCGCCGCCGCCACGGACGCCGCCGCCGCCGCCGCGGGAGGAGGGGGCGCCGCTGGGGACAAACTTCCTCCGCGCGCAGCGCCGCCGCCGCCGCCGCCGCTGCCGCCGCCGCCGCCCGGGCTGGAAGGAGAGACGGGGCGGAGCTGGGCGGGCCGCGGGGCTAAGTCCTCCTCCCGGCGGATTCCGGGCCGCCGCTGCCCTCCGCCGGGCCTCCCCCTCGTCCCCCGCCGCCCGGGGGCTTTGCAGCGCGGGGAGCAGGGCCCCCAGGGCTCCTGCATTTGGAGGGGAAGGCGAACTCGCTGACGTGCACCCAGGAGGGGGGGCGAGGAAATGTCCAGCCGGAAAGCAAAGGGCGCCCCCTGAGCTGGAAATGGGGGCTGTTCCACCTGCACAGCCTCACCCGGGCTCAGGTCACCTTCCCGCACTGGGTTCCAGGTCCCCCGAGCAGGGAGGCCAGGCCTGGGGTGCAGGCTGGGCTTTGGGGGAAAGAGCTTTAGGTGCCAGGGCCGCCTCTGGTGGGCGAGCTGGGGCGGGTTTTAAGGGGCAGCACTGAAGGGCCCACACGTGTGAGTCCTGATGGGCGTGTCAAGGTTTAAACTGGCTGCAAGGGGGCCGTGGGGGGTGGGGGATGGGGGGCTTGTTAGAAAGATTGGGACCAGGTGCCCTGCCTACCAGTCCTCTTCCTCCTCTCCCAGGCAGGGTTTTTAGGTTAAGCAGGGAATTAAAAAGTCAGAACCAAACCCCATACCCCTAGGCATGGTGGGCAGAGCGCATAATCCGGATAGCCTGGTTTTTTAAAACTGCAATGAGGCCTGTGGGAAGGCCCAGAACGCCTTCCCTCTGGGCAGAAGCCCTGGGAGCATGTGGAAAGAATCTGCATTTGGCTCTCCCTGCATGGAGTGTTGAGATGGACCAGCGATGCAGGCAGACGGTGTGGTTCAAATCTTTTATATCTTTAGGGATTTTTCCATCTACTTGTTCAGTAAGAGGGGTATTGATGGAAACATCTGTCTATAATCGTGGATTTGTCGTCGTCTTGCAGTTGTTTTCTCTTCTGAAAACGGGCCTTTTAAGCTCAGCTCTCCGTGGCACACACGTGTCGGATGTGACGCTGTCTTAATGACGTGGCTCCTTCCTCAGGCTGAGATGACCTTCGCCCTCAGCTTATAGGCTCATCACTGGGCTCTCCCACTCAGTCTTCAGGTGGCCTCGCCCTTCTCTGTGTATCAAATTGTCCTTTCCTCAAGGACACCCGGCCCCGGACAGTAGGGTCCACCCCACGTCCATGATGATCTTGTATGAAGATCCCGAACTTAGCCGAAACCGGTTTGGCTCAGTGGATAGAGCGTTGGCTTGTGGACTAAGGGTCCCAGGTTCGATTCTGGTCAGGGGCATGTACTTTGGTTGCATGCACGCCCCCAGTGCGGGGTGTGCAGGAGGCAGCTGATTGATGATTCTCTCTCATCGATGTTTCTAAAATCTCTATCCCTCTCTCTTCCTCTCTGTAAAAAATCAATTATATATATATATATATATATATATATATATATATATATATATCCCCAACTTAACTGCACCTGCCAAATGTCTAGTACTTCCAAATAAGGTCGCATTCACAGGTTGCAGGGATAAGGGCTTGGATGTATCTTTGGGGACTGCCATTCAACCCACTGTATGTCTCTATAAAAACGTTCACACACATGTTTACAGCAGCTTTCTTTGTTAAAGTGGAGAAGCAGACACAACCCAAGTGCTCACCATCAGGTGAATGAATAAACAAATGTGTCCCTTACAGTGGCACCCTTCTCAGCCATAAAAGGAATGAATTACGTCTATTCACAAGAATCTGGAAGAGTATCAAAGTAATTATGTTAAGTGTAAGCATCCAGACGGGCAACAAAAGTATATAGTGAGGCCCAGACAGCCTAGCTCAGTGGTTGAGCGTCAACCTATGAACCAGGAAGTCACAGTTCAATTCCTGGTCATTCACATGCCCTGGTTTCAGCTCAATCCCCAGGGAGGGGTGTGCTAGAGGCAACCAATCAATGCTTCTCTCTCATCATTGATGTTTCTCTCTCTCTCTCCCTCTCCCTTCTGCTCTGAAATCAATAAAAATGTATTTTTTTTAAAAACGTATATATGTGTAATTCTCTTTATATAAAATTCTAGCAAATGTAATCCCGGCCTTAAGTCACAGAAAGAAGATTGGGGGGGGGGGGCGGTTTTCTGTAGCTGAGAGGTGGCCAAGTGTGGAAGGGAATTTCGATGGGGCAGCAGGAAACTTTTCAGTCCGTTATCTTAACTGTGGCGATGGTTTTCAGGATGTAAATTTACCAAGTGGCACACTTTAAACAAGAGCAGTGCCTTGTATTTTAATGATGCCTTAACTCAAAAGCAATGCATGCTGTCTCCAGCATCCTGCAATGCCGCAGTCACCTGTGGCCGGTCCTGAGCGTAACCCAGCTGTCTCCCTCTCCTCACTTTCATCCTCCTCTGTGCCTGGGAAACTGGTCGCTAGGGACTGCATTCCCTCCCTGGCCATCCTGTCCTCTGTCTTCCAATTGGTGCCAGCCAGGGGGAGGCCCCAGCAAGACTGGGGACAGGGAGACGGGGCATTTATTGACCCTGTTTCTCCATTGCTCCCCAAGCGCCTGTGTTCTTCAATGGCCACCCCACGTGTCCCCTCTTCCAGCGTCTAATGCTGATCGGCTCCTGCAGACCCTTTTCTCCTAATGAAGGGATGGCTGCTTTCTGGAGTTCCCAGCCCTCCTGCAGTGTTATCATCCCTTGCTGGACCCCTTAAGCCTCCCCTTGCTTCTCCAATGATGCTTCGCTGAACTTCCTTCCGCTAGTATCTCTCCTTCCTCACCCCCATGCCGCCTAAAGTAAAGCAAGTAACTCTCAGTAGGGATACTCATCATATGATACTGTGACCTGTTAAGGGGCCCCCAGATGCACAAGAGAGATCCACTCTGCCGAGCTACTGTCCATCCTCCCTCCTTTCTCTTCTTATTTCTAGACCAGTCACTGGTACATATGGCCCCCAGGCCCAAGCTGGCCCACTGCCTTTGTCAGATTTGATGGGAACACAAACTTGTATTGGGACAGCCACCCGCAGGTGTTAGGACTGCTTTTCGCATGACAGTGAGAGGTGAGTGGTCAGGATGGAGACCTCCTGAGCCTAAAGTATTTGCTTACCAAGACTGTTTTTAGAAAGCTTGTCAGCTTGGCCATGGCCAGTGTCTATGGATGCTTAATACTGCAGACACATTATGTATGATAAAGTTTCCAAAGAACGGAGCTATATGGCCTTTAGACAAATAACTGGCAGGAGCTTTGAAATTAAAATTCTCAACACCTCCAATCACATTCTTAGATAGGACTTTTCCCCATGTTGTCACTGTTAGGCTAAAGTGACCAGACGTCCCGCTTTTGGCAGGACAGTCCTGATTTTTAACAATTTGTCCGGCGTCCCACAGCGTTTTAAAAGTGTTATCCTTCCCGCCGAAACCGGTGTGGCTCAGTGGATAGAGCATCGGCCTGTGGACTGGAAGGTCCCTGGTTCGATACTGGTCAAGGGCATGTACCTTGGTTGCAGGCACATGCCCAGTAGGGAGTATGCAAGAGGCAGCTGATTGATGATTCTCTCTCATCCATGTTTCTAACTCTCTATCCCTCTCTCTTCCTCTCTGTAAAAAATCAATAATAATAATAATAATTAAAAAAAAGTTTATCCTTCCCTGTGGATAGTCCCATCTCCCATCCCCTTAAATTAAATAAACTCAATGTTCTTTCATAACATCTGAGATGGCGGGACAAATTGCTAAGAATCTGGACTGTCCTGCCAAAAGCGGGACGTCTGGTCACCTTATTTTAGGCCCCCCGAAAGCAAGGACCAAGGGCCAGGTACGGAGGCTCATCAGGGCATCCTATTCCCTCCCCCTACCCTCCCCCCGGTATATCGCTGGCCATGCAGTTTGGGCCCCTGACCTTTTCCTCCCTAAGGATAACACCCAGGCCTCAGCTGTATTTCAGCTCCAGACCCAGAAGAGCAGCAAAAACCAACAAGTGGGAAGCACTGGGGCTGCCTTGGGACCAGCTGCATGGACTATTGACCTGCCCTGGGCCCGGCCAGTCAATAGAGACCACGACCTGAAAGGGCACGCCTGGAAAGCTGATGAATAATCTACTGAGACTCTAAAGTTTCCACCTGCAGGAAGGAGAGAACCACACTCAGGACAAAGGAGTGTATTTTAATGATGCCTGCTTCCCTCCGAGGAGCATGCCAACCCCATCCCTTTCTCCTTGCCTTCCCCCACAGCTCGTCTGGGCCCCTTTTTCTCTCTGTAGCCCTTCCCTTTGTTTGTTTGTTTTTAATATATATTTTATTGATTATTTATTTATTTATTTTACAAAGAGGGAGAGGGAGAGTTAGAAACATCAATGAGAGAAAAACATCGATCAGCTGCCTCCTGCACTCTCCCCACTGGGGATGTGCCCGCAACCAAGGTACATGGCCTTGATCAGAATCGAACCTGGGACCCTTCAGTCCGCAGTCTGACGCTCTAGCCACTGAGCCAAACCGGTTAGGGCAGGCCTTCCCTTTGGATAGCTCCATCTCCCATCCCCTCATCCTTAAATTAAATAAACTCAATGTTCTCTCATCACATCTGAGATGGCTATTTAGCCACCGTGCACCACTGACTTAACCTTTCCTTCACCACAGACAGAAGTAACACGCAATGTCTTTCTCTCACCTGGTCCAGGGGCAACTCCCAGGGTGAGGCTGTCTGTCTTTCTATCGGCCTTTGATGTGGTGCCACCTTAGATGAGAAAGGAGGAACATGGGCTAGTTATTGAAATAG